AATAATAATAACGTTGGTGATAAAAACCTCAACCACGCGGTACTTACTTTGAAACCTTTATACCATTCTTTAATGGTCGCTTCGTCGTATCTCGTATGTGATTTTAAGAAGTCCATGTCCTCTTTGGACAACTTGTCTTTGCTACCGAAACAACCCATGTCTGCAAAAAGATACGATAATAGTTAAATATTTATCGGTTAGGCAACAAATGTTATTTTTACATGCTCAATAGTATACATGATATTTCCGGTAAAAATTAATTGTGGCAAAAATACATATTATCATCTCTTTCAATATTAATGTGTTTCTATCAAACGAGCTTCACGAACACCGTTTGCCCGCTATACCCCCTTAATTGAAGGCTTCCTGCTCTATGTGTATGGCAATAAAAACACTTGACCCCAATTTTAGCGATTGATGTGGATTTGCATTCAAGCAAGTTCGGAAAAATGTTTTCTAATCGCAGCGCGTTATTCGATACCTATTCATAGTTAAGCTACCAAATACTACGCGTTGTATCTATATAATCTGACCGTCATAATCTTTGAATACGTATACCATTCAATGTATACATTATTTCATAAATATACGGTATAATAATATGTAAGTATATTTAAAAAAAGAATATATATATACAGAGTGTCCCACAGAGATCTGACATTCTGACAAATTAAATAACTTTTGTTCTAATCARTATTTTTAAAAAATTTCTTTTAAATATAATTCATAGACACTTGCGCTACATTTTTAAAATACATTTTTTATTTTTTAATACTGAAAATAAAAAACTTAAAATTTGATAAAAAAATTTTTCGAAATATTCAATATAGCCAATTTGTAAATCTGATTTTCACAAAAATTTATATGGTAAAACACTTATTTAAGTCAAAAGGCTGATTTTTTACAATTTTTTTAAATATCAATATTTTCGTTAGGTAAATTAAGATCTAGTTTATGTTAGTAACCTTGTAATTTCAAATAATAATAAAGTTTTTTAAAAATATTTTATAAGAATATTTTTAAATAAGTGCATGTTAGAATCTAATTATTTTTTTAATTGTATTTATTCTAATAATATGTGATGTATAAACTATAAATTACTATAATTTACCTAACGAAAATATTGATATTTAAAAAAATTGTAAAAAATCAGCCTTTTGACTTAAATAAGTGTTTTACCATATA